TAGGGTCCGCCCGACCCGACCTGACCCGACGTCCGTTAGGGTCCGCCCGGCCCGACCCGACCCGACCGTCAGGGCTCTCGCGTGCCCACTCGATTACGCACCACTCTTTAATGTCCCGCCCGCCCGTCCCGACCCGCCCGTCAGGGTCCGCCCGCCCGTCCCGACCCGACCCGACCCAACTGTTAGGGTTCTCGCGTGCCCACTCGATTATGCACCACACTTTAATGACCCGCCCGCCCGACCCGACCTGCCCGTTCGGGTCCGCCCGCCCGTCCCGACCCGACCCGCCCGTTAGGGTCCGCCCGACCCGACCCGACCCGACGGCCACGACGACGACGACGACAACGACGGCGGCGGCAGCGGACTCGGCGAGACCAGCCCAGGCGAAACCAGCGGGGCGAAACCAGCGCCGTCGAAACCAGCGTCGGGCGAAACCAGCGCCAGCGAAACCAGCGTCGGGCGAAACCAGCCCCGGCGAAACCAGCCCAGGCGAAACCAGACCCGGCGAAACCAGCCCGTGCCCCCATCACCGCCCTCTGGGGGACGGAAAGGCACCAATACCGCTACTCCCTGGCCTGGACCTCTCCTGGGGTGCTTTCTAACCGGGATTTCGAGGCGAATCCAGCCGTGGCAACGAGGGCGCCCCAGGAGGCCCAAAAAGGCGAAAACGAGAGAATGAGTAGCAGCATCGCTACTTCTTCCAGCCTCCGACGCTCGCCATCCCCCCCCCGATCGGCGGGCCGCAGAAAACGGCGGCAGGGCGGCCGCCGTCGCCTGTGCTGCGCACCCGCAGCGTGCCGCGCGCGGGGCCGACGCGCTGCTCGAGCGACAGGGCGCCCGTCGGCAGGGCGGTCTCCTCTGGTGAGGGGCAACGACAAGAGGGGGGGGGGGGGGGGGCAACGGGGGGGGGGCTCGCACAGGGGGCAACGATAGGGGGGGTGGGCTCGCACAGGGAGGGGCACATGGACCTGGAATCGCCGATGGATCGGCAATAGGCCATTGATCCACACGTTCCTGGGCAAGTTGGGGCTATCGGGCCCCTGTCGGCGATCTATGGGCGATTGGGGGTCGATGCACCCCCCCCCTACGCCTGACCCCTCCTATCGTTGCCCCTGCTCCGGGCGGCAGACCCGAAGAGGCAGAGAAGGGCGGTAGGTTTGGCGACCGTGTGAAATCGATCCCACCCCCTCTCGACGAGCATGGAATGCGCTGCAAACGGTCTAGGAAAGAGCGATCGCAAGATGCTGAATGTGTCAACAATAATGGTTGCCTATGTATGCTCCTTGTCCGCCTGAGGCCCACCATCGAACAAAGCGCCTCCTGCCTGGCCAGTGTGGCCCCTTCCTGGGAGACCGTGCCAGATCAACCACCTCCGTAGCGCGCGGAGCGTGCCAGGGGCGGACCCGGAGGCGCTGCCAGGGAGGCACCAGCGCCGATCCAAGCAGGCCGCTCGGACCTCCGAGAGCTTCCTTATGTTGATGTCGTGCTCTCAGGGGGCCGCATGCGAACCCTACCCCTGCCCCCCCCACACACACACACACACACACAGACACACACACACACACAATTCCTGAGGGGGAGGATGGGCTCAAGCCGTTTTGGCTCAAGTTTGGCTCAAGAAGCCATGACCCTTCAACATTGACAAGAGCCTTGGATCACTTCACTCACGACCTGCATCCTTTTGAACTCACCTATTACATCCTCTGTAGGCCTCGATGGCTTCTTCGGCTGCAGGTGGCGACGCGCGCGCCCCAGGTACCCCTGTGCGGCATCTGATCGAGGCACGACCGGATCGAGCAGGACCAAAACGACCGGAGCGACCCGAAGTACACACTCTGGCGACTCCACCACCAAGGAGCGCTCTCAAGCAGGCGCGATTGGGAAGTCCGACTGCGCCTATGGACCAAGATGCGGCACATCATCATGCAGATGGTGTACAACTTCGTGAATCCGATCGACGGGGGGCTCTTCCTCACCGGGGACAGGTGCGCTCAGCTTCGATGACGAAAATGACGATGATCTGGAAGATGGCCCGGTAACGACGATCGAAGCAGAGGTGGATGAACTCAACATCCAGGCTACCACTATGGAAGACGACTTGGCAGCAGTACGAACTGAAGTGGCAAACATGCAGCTTGAGCTTCACAAGGAAATTGCCGAACTCAAGGAAACGCTCAACCATACGCAGACTACAACACCGAGATCAACAACATCAACTGCGCAGGCGAAGGACACGTCGACAGTCGTCTCGGGAGGACTTCCACAAGACTCTCTGGCTGATGCTGAACGCTGGGCGCAACAAGTACTTGCAGACACGCGCCTCGTCGCAACCAAAGCTTACAAAAAAGGACCACATGACGAGGATTTCAAGGGCATCATGTTCCTACAGTTCGACACGCCGGGCATGTCTCAGCAAGCCCAAACGCATCTCCAAGAGGCAACCGCCAGTTCGCTCCAACCCAGAGCCGACAACAGCAGAGTATGGTGCAATCTCGATGCCACGATTGAGGCACGTGTCGTCTCCTCCCTCCTGCTCGGCTTGCGATACGTGCTGACACAATGGGGATTCGAAAAACGCTACCTCAAAGTTGATTCGGACAGCGGCACCATCAAAGCTGGGGGCAAGACCATCATGCGTGCGACGATTGAGGCGGACACCTTGAATATTGTTTGGCTTGACGCGGATTGGGAAACCTGGGAAGAGTTTCAAGGCTCACCACCAGAATGGGCGGCAATCCAACAAAAAGCCAAAGATCGCCTTGCACAAAGCAGAGCTCGTGCGAGCAAGGGCACCGGTAAAGTTAAGCCAAATTGACGGTGCCAGGGGCGCAAGCCCAGAGTTTCACCTATTGTTTCACACGGTACTTGTAAATCGAATGACCGCTATCTGGACGGGACGGGCAAAGATACCACCTGTCCTTCGGCGGAAGGGGACAGGAAGGGCAAAGATACCACCTACCCCTCTGACACGTCCTTCACAGATAATGCAATCAAACACGACCTCAACGTTGCTACTTGGAACGTGCGACGTTTCACGGACGTCAAGCTCGTAGAGATCATTGTTCACATGCAGAGACACGATATCGACATCTTATGCCTGCAAGAGACCCGGGCTACCAAGGCGGAAGAGTACGAAGACGAGAACAGTGGCTGCCATGTTATACTCTCCGGAGCGGACACCGACGAGCGATCATGGGCAGGAGTTGGATTCATAGTAGCGCCGGCCAGGGTTCGTAACATCAAGGCCCACAAGCAGATCTCAGACCGAATGGTTCAATTAAAGCTCCTTTTGGGCAAAGAGATGTTCATAGTCTTTTGCGTTTACGCCCCACAGAACCTCCGGCCGCTGCCGGAGAGGGTGCAATTCTACAGCGACCTCGACAACCACTGCGGGGCATGCTCGGCCTACGCCAAGAAAATTGTCTTGGGCGATTTCAGTGCCAGGATTGGCCGCGCGGACCGGGGAGAAGAAGACTTCTTTGGAGATTTTACTTGGGGCCGACGGGCCTTGACCCAGGTGGACACGCCCAACAGGGACTTACTCGTGGAATTCTGCATTGGGCGTTCCGTACTCGTTGCGAATACCTTTATTGATCAACCCGTACATGAGAAAGTAACCTTCATGGAAGCGGGCGCGGAGCCCATGGGAGACATTTCCGAAGACAAATACAATATCTTGGATCTCCTGCTGTGCGACGCTGCCACCCTCCATCGTATCCATGGACTGCGAAGCCACAGGGAAGCCGCTCTCGCAACAGACCGCTATCTGGTTACGGCTACAGTGCAGCATGTCGACGAAGACCCGCCGCCAGTTCAACTACAGCGGAAGGACAAGGCCGTCCTCAGAGACCCGGGAGCTCATTCAATATTTGCTGAAGCCTTTCTGGAAACCATTGTTCCAATTCCCACATCGGCACTGCAGGGTTAGTGGACAATCGAAGGGAAAACGGTGTAACAGCAGCGATCGCTGCAGAAGCGGCCCTCCCGTCCTTGTTTCTGACAAAAGGAAGCCATGGACATCCCAACGCACGTTAGATTTGATCGATTGGCGAAGTGCCGCGCGGAACCAACGAAATCGAATGGAAGAGAGGCGTCTTTTGAAGGAGGTGAGAAAATCAACTAAAGAAGATAAAACAAATTGGATTGACTCTGCCATCGCTACAAGCAGCTGGGACGCATTGTGAAAGCATTGCAAACAGAAGCCCCAGAAGCAAGGGCGTCTCACAAATCTGGACGGGGTACTTGTTGAGAGCACTGACCGGGCTGACGCAATGCCTGATTTCTTCGAGAAGGTTCAGTGGAAAGTCAGACCAGCGACACTAACCGACGAGCCCCCACTTGGAGACCAACTGCCGGTGGACGAAGCGCCTTTTTCAACGCGAGAGGTTGTTAAGACAATGTACGCGCTGAAAAAGGAGAAAGCAAGTGGTCCAGACGACATCCCTGCAGAATACTGGAAATCCATTGCTCAGACGCCAGGGGGGTTGCAGAGGCTCACAAATCTGTGTAACGACTGTTGGGAAACAGGCACGGTACCAGAGAACTGGAAGGAGTCCAAAATCAGCGCCATCTACAAGAACAAGGGCGCGATCGACAGTTGCGACAACTAAAGGCCGATAAGTTTATTATATGTAGCTTACAAGTTCCTGGCATCCCTATTGTTGCAACGGCTCCAACGAGCAGGTGCGGAGGACCGTCTTACTTCAAAGCAGTGCGGATTCAGACGTAGACGAGGCACATCAGATGGGATTCATATGGTTCGAAGGGCAATCGAGGCGGCCAGGGCGGCCAAAGATGGGAGGATTGCGTTCGTCGCACTGGACTGGAAGAAAGCGTTCGACTCGATCAACATGGACGCGATGATTGCCGCCTTGCGGAGGTACGGAGTTCCTCCAAAAGTGCTTGTGCTCATCGCCAACATTTACGACAATCGCCATTTCTACGTATCTGACGGTCCCTGGGCGTCCAGATAACGACGACAACGATCAGGAATAGCTCAAGGTTGCCCTCTCACCCCATTCCTTTTTGTGATGGTCATGACAACATTGATGAGGGATGCGACGGACAAGCTGGGGCAGGAAGCGAGAGCAGATATGGAAATTGGCAATTTGTCTATCTTATTCTACGCCGACGACACCCTGTTAATAGGTAGATCTCTACAGTACTTACAAGAATTGTTGGATGCTGTAGCGTGGTCTGGGGCACGAGCCGGGATGGAGCTACATTGGGACAAATTCCAATTGATCCAGATCGGATGCGAAGTTCACTTACGAACTCCCGAAGGCCGCCTGATCCCTGCCCAAGACCACTTGTCATACCTCGGAGCCACCTTGTACAGCTCAGGTTGCGTTTCGAAAGAGTTGAACAAGCGGCTAAGGGCTGCATGGGCCGAGTTCGTCAAATACGAACGAGCCTGGAAGCACAAAGCCGTCGGCAAGATCAGAAAAATCGAAATGCTTCAAGCTCTAATTACAAGCAAAGTCTTGTATTCACTTTCCACTGCTTGGTTGAACCAATCCGAAAGAAGGAGGCTGGATGGATTCCAAGCCAAGTGCCTCAGACGAGTTTTACACATTCCACCTCCTTTCCTGTCACGCGTGTCAAATAAGGTCGTCATGCAGGAGGCCCAGCAGGCCCCCTACAGCACCCAGTTTCTGCGACAACAGCTCGCGCTGTTTGGAAAAATAGGTATGGCGTCGAACCACGATTTTCTTAGACAAGCCACGTTCCAGCCTGGCACTGCTCTCCCAGCCACGGCCGCGCTCAAACGCAAGCGTGGTCGACCGAAGAGAGAATGGGCAACGGAGCTGCACAGAATGATCCCGTCCAGTTTCAATTTGCACGATCTGCTCCTACAGTGCATACATGACCCTGTGCAACGGGATGCTTTTGTGAAGCGCCACACACAACAGTGCGTCGAGCCAGACGGGCATCTGTGACTTGTTGCTGTGTTCCCCGCTCCCCCTTCCCCTCCTCTTCTTCCCCCTCCCCCTCCCCGCCGCCGGGCACGTTGTAAATTATGCGACCGCCGACGCGCCGCCACTTCCGCTAAGCGGCGATAGCTGGCTGGCAATGTTTTCTTTCGCCCACGCGCTCCGGCATATGGCATGAGTGAGGATGGGGTTCACTTCGCTCGGGAGCTCCCGAACGAAGTGAACCCCACCCTCCCCCTCAGAAATCGTGGGGGGTAGGGGTAGGGTTCGCATGTGGCCCCCCTAGTTCTCTTGTTCGAAACACTGACCTTTGGTGCCTGGTTTGCTGGTCGTTGCGCGCGGCGCGACCGCAGCGGCATGCGTGCTTGGGCTTGGTCGCCCCCTGCGCCCCCCAAGAGCCGTGCAGCAAAGATCACTCATGCGAAGGGCCACTCTGACGGCAGGTTCGTGTCGTGCCGACTTCGGCGCTGGTTTCTGACACCGCGGGGATCGTTCAACCTTGAACGATCGGCCACTTCCGACACGTCAGATCGCTCAACACATCGACCGACTCTGGGTCGCCAGCGGGCGTTCAACGTTGAACGAACCTGCCGCACGCACAAGGTAGCCGACAAGCGAGCTCAGCCCAACGCCTCCGAGGCCGCATGCCAGGCATGGCGGCTGCGCCGAGGGCGGGTCTGGAGCGGAGGCCAAGCCGGGGCGGCCCACGTCTGCCAGCCAATGGCGTGGGCGGGCGGTGCTAGGAGGAGGCGGCGCCCGAGGAGGCCGGATGACGCGTCGAATACGGAAATACTCACAACAACACCTCCTCCTCCTCCTCCTCCTCCTCCTCCTCCTCCTCCTCCTCCTCCTCCTCCCCCTCCTCCTCCGCCTCCTGCTCCTCCTCCTCCTCCTCCTCCTCCTCCTCCGCCTGCTCCTTCGCCTCCTCCTCCTCCTCTCCTCCTCCTCCGCTCCTCCTCCTCATCCTCCTCCTCCTCCTCCTCCTCCGCCTCCTCCTCCTCCTCCTGCCTCAAACCTTCCTCGTCCTCCTCCTCCTCCTCCTCCTCCTCCTCCTCCTCCCCCTCCTCCTCCCCCTCCTTCCCCTCCTCCTCTCCTCCGCCTCCTGCTCCTCTTGGGACTTCAAGCTGCTTCGGAAGGTCTTCTGGGCGACTCACACCTCTTGGAGCCCAAGCGAATAGGTGCCCTTCTCGAGGCGAAGGCACATGACGGTGCGGGGGAGAGGGAAGATGAGATGGAGGAGGAGGAGGAGGAAGAGGAGGAGGAGGAGGAGGAGGGGACTCCGGGGTCCCAGGCTGACGACAACGAGCTCCGAGAAGACGGGGCAGGAAGCCAACGCGAAATGATGCCGAGAAAGCCGTAAGCCACTCTCGGAGCACGGAAAATGAGCGGACCGTGGGACCCGCCTCCGATCCTCCTGGGCTTGGCCCCCTACCCTGCAACGAGCACCTGTGCTTACACAATACCTCGGGCATCCCGGCGGGTGCCACGCACATGACGCGCCACGCACGATACGAGCAGAGACACCACGCTCGAGCCTCCGGCGGGGTGGCCTCACGGGGACGCTCGAACCCCCCCCAACCTCCGACCTCTGTACCGGTCCCCGCCGAGGGAACGCCAGGACGGCCAATGGCCTGGAAGATGATCACGCGACCGGCCGAAGGGTACCCAGAAGACGAGGCTCGACATAACGATCAAGCTGAGGCAAACCACCAGGCCGGACGATCAAAGAACGTTGATGCAGCTTGTTGGCAGCTTCGGGCGAACGTCTTGTCCCTTGCGGGGCTCTTCTAAGCTAGATTAGCTACTGACAATGTGTATGCAATAGGGTCAAGCATGTTTGCTTCAGTTCAGTCCTGTAGCAGGATAGGTCCTAAGACAGAGCCTCAATACGCAGCCCCTGGGGGGGGGCAAAAAGACAGAGCAGATTCACATGTGTGTCTTGATTGTGATTCGCTCTCTTTGACCTAGGATATGAAAGCACTGCCCCGACCACGCGCGCAGGCAGCACGAGGAGGGAGCAACACGGAGGACCGCAAGACGACGAGCAGGCAACACGGAGCGCCCCCCCTCGGCACGGGCGTCCTCCGCGCTCTGGGGCGGCTGGTCCAGGGATAGGCCAACCTCGGGGGCAGGAAAGGCGGAGGAGGGGCAGCGCACGTGCTGCGAGGGAAGCAGCGAGCTGCCCGCAAGCCTAGGAGCGTGCCTAGAAGGAGTCTAGGAACTGTGCCCGACTGCAGGAAGCCACGCGCAGGATATTCGGAAAAGCTTGCGGCCCACGTGTTGGGAACGAGCAGGAAAGCGCTGGTGGAACATGGGACGCACAGAGCCCTAATAATTTTTTTGTTGGTCTAGGAATGGTAGACTCACGAGTATGCTGAAGTGACACATTGCACGACCGCGCACGCTGTACAAGCTGTAACCGGATCGATCGGCCATGTGTGCACGAGCCGGTGGGTCCTGTAATGACAGCCACCGAACACAGGTTAAAGACAAATGTGCCTAGCCAGTGGGAATGACGGGCAGGCGGGCGAGATGATGGGAACGTCCAGCCTGCTGCGCCAATCTGCGGTGCTCGCGGACCTCTGCTCGGAGCTCCGTGGCTCGCGCGGCGGGGAGCGGCGGGCAGTGCGCCATGATCCAGTCTCGGCACTTTGGTCGCCGACTGTCGGGCGCCTTACGGGCGCGCCCGACCCGAACATCTAGTATACCCATCTTGTAGTCTACCGTTTCCCGAGCGGCGTGGCCAGAAAGCGCCCGCCACGACGCACACACAATATCAGATTTCTCGGTGCGAGCGTCGCCCTCGGGGGGGCGACGCACACATAGCATAAGTATCCTGGGGTGACGCCGAGAACACGCCACAAGCTCCGGCATGGACAGCACGAGGAGGGGACGCAGGGGCTGAGAGAGCCCAGGTCGCCCAGCTGCGCGCACCGCGCCCAGCGGTGCGCTGCGCGCGACCATCCTCGCAGGCCTCGCGGGCCTCGCGCCGCCGCTTCGGAGAAGAGCCGCTGCTCCGGCCCGGGCCGCGACGCGAGAAGCGCGGTTGTCTTCGCGCACCGTGAGGTCACCGGGTGACCTGGGAGAGCGGGGCGGCCCCAAGCGGCCTGTGGGAGTCCCGCATGATTTTCTGACTCTGCACGCCGCGTGCTACAGCGTGACGTCCGTCGCGGCGTGCGTCTTTTCATGTGGGTCGCGCGTGCCGATTGCGCGCGCGCCTGGAGTTGGAGAAGCCCGCAAGCCGAGCGGGCAAAGAAGATCGCCGTCCGCAAAGGCACCTGCTGCTTTGTTAACTGTGTGGGCACACAGGAACTGGGCTGGTGTGGCGGTCTGGCGGTTATCTTGTCGCCGTCGCCACCCCGTGGCCGCCTCGTCACCTCCCGACGTCTCGGCCGGTGTGACAATCTGGCGGTTGTGCTGTCGCCGTCGCCGTTCCGTCGCCGCCTCGTCTCCGCCCGACATAGGTTCTCTTCTGTAATGAGGAAGTTAGACCTACCACCCACCCTCCCAGACTGATCGGTCGATCGGTCCACCCTCGGGATGTGCAATTAACATAAGATTCCGCCCCATCGCTCCTTCGAAATATGTATCCAGATCACCCCGGCCAAACCAGGGTCGACGCCTTCCCCTAATACTCATCAAATCATATTACGCACGCGTCCGTTTATCAAAAACAACAACGTCCAAGAGCCCCTTGCAACAGAAATGCGACGAAATCCACGCGCGCGCGGCGTCGCGCGCCCACGCCGAAATCCTTCAAAACCGTTGGCCTCGTAAGGATTTCAAAACCGAGTGCCCCCGAGTACATGTCTAAGGGATAGCATGATGTGCAACAGGATTTGTCAAAATACATGTACACAAAAAACACGGCGCGCCCTTGCGAATTCTTGACCAAACCAATGGTGTTTCAGACGAGCAATCCGCGTGCGCACTCCGCGTGCGCATGTCAAAATGATTTGAACGCCATTGCGCACGCGCTGGTGCAATAATCACTTTGCCAAAAAAGTGACGACATTCGCACGCGCGCGTCGTCGCGCGCGCACGCCGGAATCCTTCAAAAACCTTGGGCGTCGGAGAGATGTCAAAATCGACTGTCCCGAAAGCGTATAGAAAAAAACACACATGGCTTTGTAACCATCATGTTTTGCTTATGCCTGCTTTCGCGTTCCGGCTAATGCTTATGGAAACTATAAATACTTATACATGTTCATGACATTCTGCCAAATGGGCCCTTCGCGCAGCACGTCGAAATCATTAGAACGCCCTTGCGCGCGTGCTGGTGGGGGGCACGATTTCCATCAAATAATACAACGCGGGCCGCTGTCGCGCGTCGGCCGCGCGCGCATGTCGAACTCCCTCGAAAACCTTTTTCATCACCGACGCGAAGGCGCAGTCATCGTCGTCGGCGTGATCAACATCGGCGCCGTCACTGCCCTTGCCATCGTCGTTGTTATCATCGCCGCCAACAACGCTACCAGCATCATCGCGTTTACCTTTGTCGGCGTTGCCATGGTCCCGCGCCCGCCCAAGTCGCCGACTCGCAGTGAAGTGTCCGCTGGGATGTGCCCAGCGGTCAACGCCACCGCGGCCGCGCCGGCAGCGCCAAACTAGCTGCCCGCTGCGCGCGCGAGCGTGCGCGGGCAAATGCGGCCGCGGAAATGCACCAGCCAACTCCCAGCACTCATCGCAATCGCAGCCGCATGGGTTTTACCAACCAAGCTGCGGTTGGGTGTGTGGGATCATTGCGCGAGCAGTGGAGTGGACAACCCACTGCGAACCGAAATTACTTGCACCACATAGGTTACACAACCTATTTTCAACCACGTCGATTCTCCTTTCTAAAAACAGAATAGACTCTGCCCCCCCCCGGCGTTCGCCGCCCCCCTTTCGGTTACGTCAATCATGTGTGATTCTGACCACATGTCCATCCTAAATATGAATTTACACTTACAAAATATGAATACGCGGAGACATGTTCTGTTCTAACATAAGAATTGTTCACGAATCCCTTGCAAAAAATGGGGCGAAGTGCACACGCGCGCGTCGTCGCGCGCGCATGCCAGAATCCTTCAAAAACCTTCGGTGCCAGAAAGATTTCGCAATCGAGTTTCCAAAAAACATACAAAAAACACATGGTTTCGCAACACTGATTTGCTAAAAAAGCTTACGCGCGAGGTCTTGCGGAATCTTAAGACAACCATCGGTTTCTCAAGTTTTCACAAAATGCTACCAAACGGGCTTCGCGCGCGCGCATGTCGAAATCTGTCGAACGCCCTTGCGCGTGTGCCGTCGCGAGAATCCCCTACAAAAGAACGGGACACAGTGCAGACGCGCGCGTCGTCGCGCGCGTATGCCGAAATCCTTCAAAACCCATCGGTTTCGGACGGATTTCAAAATCGCGTGTCCCAAAAACCTACAAAAACACAAGGTTTCGCAACACGGATTTTCAACAAAAACGTGCGTGCGCGCTCTTGCGTCGTCGTCGTCGTCGTCATCGCCGTCCTCCCTCCTCCCGCGTCGTCGTCGTCGTCGTCGTCGCCTACGTCGTCCTCTGTTTTTCCTCGTGTTCGTCGTCGTCGTCCTCTTTGGCGTCGTGGTCGTTTCCGTCGTCGTTGTCGCCGTGGTCGTCCTTCCTCCTCTTCCCTCGTCGTCGTCGTCGTCGTCCGTCGTCGGCGTCTCGTTGTCGTCCCTCCTACTTCGTCGCCGTCGTCGTCGTCGTCGTTGTCGTCGTCGTCGTCTTCCCTCCTCCCTCGTCGTTGTCGTCGTCGGCGCCGCCGTCCTTCATCATTTTGCGTCGTTCGCGTCGTCGCCGTCCTCCTTCCTCCCTCGTCGCTGTCGTCGTTGTCGTTGTCGCCGTCGTCGTCCTCCCTCCTCCCTCGTCGTCGTCTTCGTTGGCGACGTCGTCGTCGTCTTCGTCGTCGTCGTCGGCGTCGGCGTCGTCGTCGCCTTCGTCGTCGACGTCGGCTTCGTCGTCGTCGCCGCCGTCGTCGTCGTCGTCGTCGGCGGCGTCGTTGACGTCGTCGTCGTCGTCGTTGTCGTCGTCGTCGTCGGCGTCGTTGTCATCGTCGTCGTTGTCATCGTCGTCGTCGTCGTCGGCGTCGGCGTCGTCGTCGTCGTCGGTGTCGTCGTCGCCGTTGTCGGCGTCGAAGTCGTTAGAGACGTCGTCGGTGTCGTCGCCCAGCTGGGATGTGCCCAGCAGTCAGCGCCACCGCGGCCGCGTCGGTCGCGCCAAACTAGCTGGCCGCTGCGCGCGCGCTGGGGTTGGCGCGGCCGCAAAGATGGGCCAGCTAAATCCAAACACTTATTGCAATCGTCACCACATGGGTGCTGCAAGCCAAGTTGCGGGTGGGTGGGTGGGTTGTGTGTAAGAACGTGGGATGTGTCAACTCGTTTGTGAAAATCAATTGCACCACACAGGGTGCACCGCAGAGATCGCAACAGCTAGATCGCACCACATGTTTACACGATATACATAGATATATACATATATATATACATATGTATATATATATATATATATATATAGATGAGTGTGCGTGCATAAATATATATATAACACCGCATAGATTGCGCAACAGAGGCTTCACAACCTACATATATGCAATATGGAAAATATAGACGCACCATCTGTAGCGCGCAGTACGCATTGCACTGCATACCCTGCACCACATGAACAGCAAAACTGAAATTGCACCACATGGGCTGCAACATGTGAGTCGGTATCTATATATAGAGAGAGGGATACGGTCCGTCCTTAAACATATCAGGATCCACCTGCCCCCCCCCCTTGGACTTAACGGTACACCCTTTTCACAATGGGATGTACATGCGTTTCTGCCCCATCGCCCATCCAAGGCTGTTTTTTTGTTTTTCGGTACCCCCTCACCCCCTGCCATAAACATGCGCAAGCATTGGCTTACCCAAAACATCAGAAATGTTCTAGAACCCCTTACAGTCAAACAAATGGGACGACGTGCACACAAGCGCGCCGTCGCACGCGCATGCCTGAACCCCTCGAAATCTCAGGCGCCACGCGGATTGCAAAATCGAGCGCCCCGAAAATATAAAACGACGAAACCAATGGTTTCGCAACAGAATTAAATGCGCCTTGGCACTTGCGAATCCTGAACACACCATCCGTTGGCCAACATGTTCATAATACGTGAATGAACAAGTGTTGTGCGCGCACATGTCGAGATCAGTTGAACGTCTTTTGCGCGCGCGTTACCGCCAGAGTCCCTTGCCCAAAAAAGTGACGAAGTGCACTCGCGCGCCCCGTCGCGCGCGCATGTCAAAATCTGCCCAAAACCACGGACCAGCTAAAGATTTCAAACCTGCACACCCTGAAAACATGTGAACACACACGGCTGTGCAACATCAGTGTTGGAGAAAAGTCTGCGCGAGCACCCGTGCGAATCTATTTTTTATTAACACAAAAACCGTTTCAATAGTTTCATCCATTACGACCAGGAAAAAAAAAAAAACAAAAAAAAAAAAAAAAAAAAAAAAAAAAAAAAAAAAAAAAAAAAAAAACAAAAAAACAAAAAAAAAAAAAAACCGCGCCGCATTCCGAAATCATCCGGATACATTTGCGAGCGTGTTGGTGGGGGCACGATTCCTGTCAAAGAATACTACGCGGGCCGCTCTCGCGCGTCGGCCGCGCGCGCATGTCGAATTACTTCTAAAAACAGCACCACCGACGCGAGGACACCGTCATCGTCATCGACGTGACCAACATCGGCGCCGTCATTGGCCTTGCCGTCGTCATCGGCATCATCGTCGCCACCACCGCTACTATCATCGTCGCGCCTACCGTTGCCGACGTCGCTATGATAACGTGCCCGCCCAACTCACCGACTTGCACTGAAGTGCCCGCTAGGAAGCGCCCAGTGGTTAGCGCCATCGCGGCCGCGTCGGTCGCGCCAACCTGGCCGCTGTGCGCGCGAGTGCGCGGGCTAGCGCGGCCGCAGAGATGCACCAGCCAACGCCAAGCAGTCATCGCAATTGCCGCCGCAATCGTGCTGCTAATCAAGTTGCGGGTGGGTGGGCGAAATGTTTGCGCGACCACTGGAATTGAGAACCCAAGTTTGTCAAAAATGAATCGCACCACACACGACCTCCTTTCTAAAAAAAGATTAGGCTCTACCCCCCCCCGCTCACCCAGGATTGCCGACACCTCTTTCGTATTACAGTTTACATATGACCCTGCCCCACAGTCCATACGCCGCGCGCATGCCGGAATCCGTCAAAAACCTGCGGTTGCGTAACGATCTCAAAACTGAATGTCCAAAAACATACCAACACGCACATGTTTTCACAACATCAGTTTTCAACAAAATAAAACCAAACAACAAACAAAAAACAAACAAAAACAAAGAAACAAAAACAACAAAAAACTAATACAACAAAAAAACGTGCGCTGGCGCTATTGCACATACTATAAAAAATGTGTTATGTTTTAAACAAAAGAAGCTCATGCAATTCTGCCAAACGGGCCTCTGGCGTCGCATGCCGACATCATTCGCACGCCTTTGCGCGCGTGCTGGGGGGCGCGATCCGTGTCAAATAAGCCCATGCGGGCCACCCTCGCGCACCGGCCGCGCGCGCATGTCGAACTCTTTCCAAACCTTCATCACCTCCGCGAGGACACCATCATCGTCGCTCGCATGATCAGCATCGACGCCCGCACTGGCCGCGCCTTCGTCGGTGTCAACATTGTCACCAGCATCGCTACGATCATCATCGTGCCTACCGTTGCCGACGATGCCCTGATACCGCGCCCGCCCAAGTCGCCGACTCGCAGCGGCAGGCCCGCTGGGATGTGCCCAGCGGTCAGCGCCACCACGGCCGCGTCGGTGGGGCCAAAAGCTGGCCGCTGCGCGCGCGTGCTAGGGCTGGCGCGGCCGCAGAGATGCACCAGCCAACGCCAAGCAGTCATCGCCATTGCCGCCACAAGGGTGTTGCAAACCAAATTGCAGGTGGGCGGGGGGGACGTTTGCAAGAAAATGGGGTGTGCCAACTCATTTGTTTAAATGAAGGCACCACACAGATTCTCTTTTCTAAAAGGAGAAAAGACTCTACCCCCCCCGCCGGACTTATCCGTTCCCCTTCCGGGTATGTAAATCAAATATGATTCTGACCACTCGTCCATCCTAAATATGAAATCATACCAGCCCAGCTAGGCCGGGTTCCCCCCCCCTGAGGTTCCCTTTTGTTTAAAAAATGTTTTTATATATATATAAACAAAACAAAACAAAAACAAAAAACAAAAAACAAAACAAAACAAAAAATGATATTTTGTGTTCTAACATTACACTTTTTTCACGAATCCAGAATAAAAAATGACACGACATGCACACGCGCGCGTCGTCGGGCGCGCATGCCGAAATCCTTCAAAAACCTTCGGTGCGGGAAGGAATTCGCAATCGAGTTTCCAAAAAAACATACAAAAACACAGGGTTTCGCAACACAGAGTTGCTACAACAGCTTCCGCGAAAGCTCTTGCGAAATCTTAAGAAAACCATAGGTTTTTTTCAAGATTTTCACAAAATGCTACCAAACGGGCTTCGCGCGCGCTCATGTCGAAATCTGTCGAACGCCCTAGCGCGTGTGCCGTCGCGAGAATCCCCAACAAAAAATGAGACGAAGTGCAAACGCGCGCGTCGTCTCGCGCGCATGCCGAAAACATTCAAAACCGATTGGTTTCGGAAGGATTTCAAAATCGTGCCCAAAAAGCCTACAAAAACACAAGGTTTCGCAACACGGAGTTTCAACAAAAGCGTGCGCGCGCGTTCTTGCGTCGTCGTCGTCGTCGTCGCCGTCCTCCCGCGTCGTCGTCGTCGTCGCCTACGTCGTCCTCTGTCTTTCCTCGTGTTCGTCGTCGTCGTCCTCTTTGGCGTCGTGGTCGTTTCCGTCGTCGTTGTCGCCGTGGTCGTCCTTCCTCCTCCTCCCTCGTCGTCATCGTCGTCCGTCGTCGGCGTCTCGTCGTCGTCCCTCCTATTTCGTCGCCGTCGTCGTCGTCGTCAACGTCGTCGTCTTCCCTCCTCCCTCGTCGTTGTCGTCGTCGGCGTCGCCGTCCTCCCTCCTTCTTCGTCGTTCGCGTCGTCGCCGTCCTCCCTCCTCCCTCGTCGTTGTCGTTGTCGCCGTCGTCGTGCTCCCTCCTCGCTCGTCGTCGTCGTCGTCTTCGTTGGCGACGTCGTCGTCGTCGTCGGCGTCGGCGTCGGCGTCGGCGTCGGCGTCGTCGTCGTCGTCGTCGTCGACGTCGACGTCGGCGTCATCGCCGCCGTCGTCGTCGTCGTCGTCGCCGGCCGGCGTCGTCGTCGTCATCGGCGTCGTCGTCGTCGTCGTTTGCGTCGTCATCGTCGTCGTCGGTGTCGTCGTCGTCGGCGTCGGCGTCGTCGTCGTCGTCGTCGGTGTCGTCGTCGTCGTCGTTGTCGTCGTCGTCGAAGCCGTCGGAGACGTCGTCGGTGTCGTCGTAGTCGTCGTCGGCATTGTCGTCGTCGTCGGCGCCGGTGTCGTTGCCAAGTGCCATTCGGAACAACCGTCACGGTCTTAAAAAAAATTGACGACCAAGTTACGGGTGGGTGGGTGGGATGTTCGCAAAAGCATGAGATGTGTCACATCATGGGAAAAAATCAATTGCACCACTTAGACTGAACCGTATATGCTCCACCACCCATACTGCTAGAAACACATAGTTTGGACCCCACGACGGCTACCATCTGTTCCAGAAATCACAAAGACAACGTGCATTGCAAATCAAGTCGCGCAATGACGATGGGAACCTAGCCGCGGCAATTTCCACTGCTTTGCACATGCACCTGCATACCCAAAGGCAACTCACATTGTTGCTATCTGGGGAGGCAACGGTATCCGAGGACGTGAAAATGTAGTGAAAATGCTTGCGCTGAAAAAGAACACCCCCACCGCTCGTAGCAACGATGAACGTGACCCAAGCCCCGTGCTTGCGTTCAATTGCACTCCCCCAGCAAAACGAGCATCACCCCCCTTCACCAACCGCAATCCAAGCATACAGTACGCTCAACAAGCACTGTTGCAATCCAATGTACGTCGTGAGTGCGGGAATCAAAACCACCAGTTATACCCGCGGTCACCCCGAAACAACCCCAGCCAACCACGGCGAGTTCCGAAGGCAGCATCCTGGCAAACTCCTGCGACAAAGCGCTCTTCCCCACAGCAGGACACCGACACAGGTGCTGAATATACATACGTGTGCGGTTCAACACGATGTCCAACGCAGGCCGAAGAAGTCCTATCACAGCAGCTGGTGTATATGTATGCAAAGGCCGAACGAGACTTACCCACAACCCGCGTTTACATGGAAAGAGCGGAAAACTGAGAAACATGCCTCATGCATACAGCTGTGCGCTGCCGCGCTGGTACTAGGCTACGAAATAGATTGGACAGTGCTGCTGTCAGCAATGATTTGCTTTAGCGGCAAACGGTGCTCGTTGCACTTGTGCAAACTAATGATACGCGGATATGGTCGGCGATGCAACAAATCGCCAAGAGTTTAGAGCAATGTATACTACACCTCCTTAAGGCTACGGCATGGATAGAAGAACGGCCAACTGTCGTCCACACTCAGGCGAGACACGCGCACGCACTGACTAAGATGATGTACGATGCACGAATGCACTCTGAGTCGGGCTCACGTAAGGCGTGGGTGTACCACTTATGATATGTGAGTGCGGTATGACCTGCTGGAGCGCTCTGAAAATGTGAATCTGGTGAGAGACAACACAGTAGCGTCGGCAACGCGTGCATGACATCAGCCGCCATGAACGAGCAAAAAGCTAGAAGCAGGCCGTGTCCCACTTTGCTGCAGCACGGTCGCAGCTGTGAGGCAACAGTGGAATGCATGAAGCATGGTGAGGCCGCGGCCCCGGATTAAGAACGAAGTGACCGAGGGGCAGCGGTGCTGGTAGCAACGTCGCTTTGACACGGGTGCGAGAAAAAGGAGGCCCCGCGCCTTTGTGCGTACGCGCGGGAAGCCGACGGCGACAGAGGCCTGCAGCGCCGTCCGGCCGTTCTCTCTCATCTGCTCTGCCCCTCCGCCTCATATCAACATTCCCCACCATCACCATACTCATCTTCAGCATCCGGCCCAAGGCCGACGATCAATGAGGCAAGCGGTCGCCAAAGCCGTGCTACTGCAAGACGGACGCATCCTCTACACTGTCGCCATATTACAGAGATCGCCGATCACAGATCCCTGTGCAGTCCTACTGCGGTTGGTATTGATATACCGCCACTGCCACGACCAATATACACACTACACACAACACCACCACCGTTACGAAGGACATCATCTGCAGAGCCGTTAACGTCGGCGTCAACGTCGTGGTCATCGCAGTCGTCAGTCATCACCAGAGTCGGTGCCATCGTCGCAATCTTCGTCATGGTCGTGGTCCTTCTCATCATCAGAACCCGCCTTATCGTCATCGGTAATACCGTGGCCGTCGCCGTCATCACTACCACTGTAACGATGCTCACCGCCAGGCTTCCACAAGCGCACTTGCTGCTACTGCTGCCACCACCGTTGCCAAAGCCCCCACCGCTGAAACGGCCGCCGCCATTATTATGCAGGAGCAGACGAGCCCCAACACTGTAGCGCCCCCTCGGGACCACGTGGCAATAAAGAGCCATGGCCGCAGCTGCAGGGGGAGCTCACTGTGATCGGCTGCGGGGGGGAGCCGATGGGCCAGGGCTCGAGGTGTCGAGGCCTCTCCCTCGCCGCCCTGACAACACGACCCAGACACACGCACACCCGCACCCAATGGCCAGCAGGCCGACCAGGCATTTGTAGAGCACCATGGGGACGGTGGCGCCGACTGAGCAAAAAAAACTCCCCCCGCACCTCAGCCCCGCCCCTCCCCCCGCCACAACAGGACCCATACACACGCACATCCGCACCCACGGGCCAGCAGGGCGACCAGGCATGTAGAGCAGCATGACGATGCTGACCGAAAACTGTGACTCCCAGATGTCCGATGATCATGTTGTCTGGTGCAGGAAGAGTCATCATCAACCACATCACCACCAACAGCACCGTCATCACCAGCAGCAGCAACCACATCACCATCACAATCCTCATAAGCACAATCGCCACCACCGCCACCATCGCGCCATCCTCACCAGCATCACCATCATCATAATCATCAACAACATCATCAGCATCCTCGCCATCTTCCGCAGCAGCATCATTACCATGATCCGTATCAACATCGTCAACCTCATCATCAGCATCGTCGTCGTCGGGGTCCTCCTCATCACAAACACCAACAGAATCATCACCATCATCACCAGCGGCATCAGCCCCGTCATCATCAGCATCACCGTCGGCGCCCGCATAGCCACCAGCCCCATCATCATCATCATCATCATCATCATCATCATCAGCATCATCATCATCATCATCACCATCATCATCACAAGCATCATCATAAGCATAACCATCATCACCACAACCACGACAATTCTCCTCCTCCTCATCATCATCACCATCATAATCCTCAGAATCGTCCTCATCATCATCAGTATCATCACCACCACCACCATCATCATCATCATCATCATCAGCAGCAGCAGCATCATCATCGCCATCACCGGCACCACCAAAATCAGCATCACCAGCAGAATCACCAGAATGATTATCCACATCAGCAACATCATCAACAACATCAGCAGCAGCATCATCATCAGCAGCAGCATCATCAGCATCATCAGATGCAACATCATCATCAGCATCATCATAGGCATCGTCATCGTCATCTTAATCATCAGTCATCAGCATCAGCATCAGCATCAGCAGCACCATTATCAGCATCAGCATCATCATCGCCACCATCAACAACAACACCACCATCATCAGAAGCAGCATCAGCATCATCACCAGCAGCACCAGCAGCATCATCAGCATCATCAGCAGCATCATCAGCAACACCAGCACCCGCAACATCATCATAAGCAGCATCAGTATCAGCGCTACCCTTAGCAGCAGCATCAGCATCATCATCAGCAGCAGCATCAGCAGCATCAGCAGCATCATCAGCATCATCAGCATCGTGATCACCATCATCATAATCATCATCATCATCATCATCAGCAGCACCATCATCATCATCCTCATCTTCATCATCATCCTCATCATCATCATCAGCAGCAGCATCATCGTCAGCATCAGCATCATCAGTAGCAACACAATCAGCATCATCAGCAGCATAAGCAGCAGCATCATCATCAACATCAGCAGCAACATCATCATCATCAGCATCATCAGCACCAGCAGCAGCAACAGCAGCAGCATCATCGCAAGCTTCCCCCCGCACCTCCGCCCCGCTCCTCCCCATGCATCGTCCGCGGGGCCCCTGCGCGGCCGCTACGCACGGCCCTCTGCACAGCACCCCCCGCCCCCAAAAAAACAAAAAAGGGGAAATAAAAAACTACAAAAAATGCGAGAAGCTAATGAGGCGCAGCGCGCGCAGCTGGAGGAGGAGGAGGAGGAGGAGGAGGAGGAGGAGGAGGAGGAGGAGGAGGAGGAAGAGAAGGAGGATGAGGAGGAGGAGGAGGAGAGGAGGAGGAGGAGGAGAGAAGGAGGAGGAGGAGGAGGAGGAGAAGAAGGAGGAGAGGAGGAGGAGGAGGAGGAGGAGGAGGAGGAGGAGGAGGAGGAGGAGGAGGAGGCAGAGGAGAGGGGAGGGGAGGGCAGGGGAGGAGAGGGGAAGGGAGGGGAGCAGGAGGAGGAGGAGGAGGAGGTGAGGAAAAAGAGGAGGATGAGGAGGTGGGGCGCGCCTGAAAATGTCAGTGTCCACTCTACTAGTCGCTGCTGCTACTGGAGATGCTGCTGCTTCTGCTTGAAACTGGGGCACGAAGACAGAACATATTCCACAGGAGATGAAGCGGAGGGGGGAGGGCAAGGGGACGGTCCTGCCTGAGCAGCTCCGTGGACTGTGTGCAGCAGGGCACCGCAGTCGAGCAGCCGTCGCTCGGCATTCTTGGCGGGCAGTCTCACTGCCAGGCCCGCTGCCTCGACCAATGACGACGCCTCTGCGAAAACCAGCGGCCGACGGAGAGATGAGGCGCGATGGGAAGCAATGCGGTACATGTGGGATGCAGTGGCCACGAAAGCGAACTGCTCCCCTCTAAGCCCGAGTCTATAAATGATATTGCACGGGTAGGGGACGTGGAGGGCACGAGAGGACCAGAGGAGGAGAAGGGTACAAGGCAGGAGGCAGTGGGAAATGCGATCTGCGGCCCTGTGGCATGCGAAAACGCATCCACCACCGCGCTGGAGTCTGCAGCCTGTGGCCCATCCCCCAGGAGGGCACGGAAGGCCACGAAGGACCATGCGGGGGAAGGGCAGCAATGGCGGCACGCACGGATTTCCACTCGTCGGGCAACAGACTGGGACGGGCTCCGAAATGCTTGAACACACCCCGCCCGATGAGGGGTGCGGAGCCGTGCACGCATGCGCAGCAAACACCGAAGACAACCGACCCTGCCAACGCGATTTCTTGCGCGGCGCCGCTCGGATCCCCTCAGGCGGGTCGCGAAAGAGCTGGAGCGCTACCGCCCCAGGGGAGCTTGAACTGGCACGCATCCCCGAGGGCGGAGGCGATCGCAAGCGAGGACCAGGAGGGAGGAGCGAGCACCCGAGACTCCCAGCATCCCACGGTCGCCCTCTTCTCCCTTGCACACGGAGGCGGGCCAATACACTCGGGCAACCTGCGCACGTGATAAGGGCGCATCGCATGGGAGCGGCGGCGGCAGTGGTCCACAGTCGAATGGCGCCGCGGGCGCGCCCCAGTCCGCAGGTCGGAACCAGTCCGAGCGCCAAAACATACGATGTTGGACGCGGTATAGCCTGACCAGAAAACGCCGTTCGACCATGGGCCGATCCCAGGGCATCTAGAAGAGCTGCATTTGGTATGACAGAAGCGTCTGCGCACGTTCGCCATATGGCTGCACAGAGACAGAGCGAGGCGCACCTCGCGAATCCACCGCCGAAGACGGCCCGGAGCCTTGGCCACCGGAGCCCGCCACTCTTCGTCAGGGGGCGCTCCGGCGCTCAGGGGCCCAGAAAACAGCCCAAGTACGGGGTCGGCCCCGAAATCTTGAATCCACGCTAGTCCTTGCATGAGACTCAGACAGTGCTTGCACGAGACGCTCCTGAAACAACGCACTGTTGGGAGCCCACGGCAGCACAGCCGTCAGCTGGAGGTCGGCAATCTGCGCAGTGGGGCGAAACACCCGCCCTAGATGGAGCCAACCTCTGAGCGCCCACACGATGACACCAACATCATCAGCACAGGCGCGGGCAAGGCCTCTTTTGGGACGGGTGAGGTGGAGCTCGAGGTCGCGGAGGAAAAGGGTGAAGGGCAAACATAAAAGAAGAGCAACCCTGGAGGACGCCAGAAAATCATCCAGAACACGAAGACAGTGCAATCCGAAGTAACCGAGTAACACGGACTCATCTGGCAAAGAACCTGCACCGCATACTTGAATCCCAGCGGAATCGGAGCAGCAGCCATCGCGGCAAGCATCCGTTCTTGCGAGACCGAGGGGAAGAGCTGGGAGAAGTCGAACGCGAGATGGGCAAGCGATACGGGCAAGCGATATGGGCAGTGTCAAGAAAGTGTCGGATTCTGGCGTCGCGGCTTATCCCGTCGAGGTCAACGATATGATCGAGAGAATTGCGACCAGGGACAACTCCCCGCTGTGACGGCGCCGCAAGCTGCTGCAGCGCGCGAGGCATGGAGCGGTTGGGAGCAGCTGCGGTCACCTTGCTGCACGCAGTCGTGAGACCGAGGGGGCGCACATCCCCTGCCTTCCGAAACAGCTGCGGGAACCTTGCTACACCCATGCTCGAGAGCCAGAGGGCGCACATCTCCGGCTTTCCGAACCAGGGCCCCGCCCTCGTGGGCCACCCCAGGGATTGATTCGGGGATGAAGGCCTGAGGGGGAGCGCAGAACTCAAGAGCCAAGCCGCATGCCAGACGTGCGGCCCCTCACCGTGTCGCCAGCACGCGAACGGGATGCCATCGGGGCCAGGAGCAGAATTCCCCACACGAGCGCGGTAGGAGTCGATCTGCCTGCGGCCAGACGGTGGGAGGGAGCGAAAATCGAGGGAGGGTTGGGAGGAGCACTACCAGGCATCGAATGAGCCTTCTCAAGGTATGGGGCCCAAAAACGTGCTGAACCCGACCGTGACCCCGTCGGGAGACGAAGTGGGAACCGCCGAACCACCATCCCCCGAGTCAACCTGCGCTCCCGCGAGAAAATGACCTCTCCCCACTGTGGCGCAAAGCCGAGCACGCCGCACGGCCACCTGCGCTGCCTCGAATGATCCGTGCCTACTGGGCGGGACGGGTCTCGCTTGCCGCCTCAGCCTCGAGCCGACGCGTACGAGCATCGTGCTCCTGCATTTGGAGGGGAGGGCGAGAGAAACAAGAGAAACGAGAAGAAAGTCGAGAAAACCGAGAAGAAAGGCCGTGGAGTGGAAGCCGTGAAAACGAGCAGGGATCGAGGAGGGCAACGGCAGTGCCAACCTCCAGGAGCGCACGCATCCGACCGTGCCTGGCACACGGAATGTCGGCCCCGCGGAAGTCCTGACGACTGACCGCGCGAGCCACAGAGCGGGCGACCACGGCACGAGAGGCCACCGCTCTCGGGGAACGTTCGAGCTGCAGGCCCTTGCAGCAGCTTGCCTGCAGAGTGTGGCCACGCGAGAGGCCTCAGGGGGCTCGCACCGAGAGGAATCCATGGGCCGCTCGTACCCGACGGCCAAGGAGGCGAGGAGGGGGGCAGACACGACGAGGCGCGGGAGAAGTCGAAGGCAAGAGAAATCCTTCTCTTTACGGCGGCCCGTCGTCCGAACAGCAGTGGAAGCGTGGTCCGCGACCCCAGCTGGAAACAGCTCCTGAGGCTCCCGAAGACAAAGTGCCTGTTGAAAGCCCTCGCAGGAGGTGGAGGACGACGAGGAGGAGGAGGAGGAGGAGGAGGAGGAGGAGGAGGAGGAGGAGAAGGAGAACGAGGACGAGGAGGAGGAGGAGGAGGTGGCCCTTGACGGCGGGTCAAACGAAACTCAAAACAACTCATCCTCGAAGGGCTGTGACTCGGTGTCCGAGCCATCTCGAGCAGTACGCTCCGGAGGGGATCTGACTCCGGGGAGGTCCTCCACGCCGATGCCGAAAGGAGCGAGCACCGACGCCTGAGAGGCAAAACCTGGCCCCTTTCGGGTGGGAGGAGGAGGAGGAGGAGGAGGAGGAGGAGGAGGAGGAGGAGGAGGAGGAGGAAGAGGACCAGAGTAACCCGACGATACATCAGCGATGCAGCAGTGCACCCTCCCGCCCCAAGTCCCCTCCCCGTGAGCTCCTATGAGCAAGTCGTTCTCGCTGCGCGGAGCGCCCCCGTGCAGAGACGAGCGCCCCGTGGGCCCGCAGACCGGGCGGGAGCTCCGTCCAGAGAGGAGCCGACCTGCCTTCGAGCCAGGGGGGATGCGGCACGGCGGTGGTGCGTCCAGCGACAGCCCCGCTCTGAAGAGGAGCCGTCGTCCGTGCGTGCAGCTGCTGCACACTGTCCAGTTTGGGGCGATGGAATCGGGCACGCCCTCAGTCGGCAGCCCCGTGCTGAAAAGGAGCCGCCTCCACCCGCGCCACTTCCGAGGAAGTCTCGGGGGAGAGACCCAGTTTGACAGAAGCTGTTGGGCTGTGTACGACGAGTGCCCGCAGCACCAGAGCGATAGCCCAATTTTGGCAAGGTGCCGCCTCCGCGCGCGCAGCTGCTGGGAACCTGAAGCCTGAAGGCTACAAGCGGCAAGGAAGACTCGGGCGAGACGCCCGGTCCCGCCCTGACGACACGTCTGGTGGTGCGGCATCTTTTTGTCGCGGCGCTGGCGATCGCACAGCGCGGGGTGGCTCAGGTCGGGTTGCGGGACGGCTCACTGGCACCAAGGAGGCGCTGGAAGAAGAGGGTGGACGCGGCGAGAGGACTGCAGGCAGGCGAGGCGCTCAGGACGTGGAGCTCTTGACGCCGGTGCGGCGGCCCGGGCTCTGGGCAGGAGTCGAGCCAAGGGGCGGCCCTGGGGGCTGCAGGAGTAACCCCAGGCAAGAGTAACCCGTCGATGCATGCGTAACCCTAGGCAAGAGTAACCCTAGGAGTAACTCTAGGCAAGAGTTACCCTAGGCAAGAGTAACCCTAGGCAAGAGTAACCATAGGCAAGGGTAACCCTAGGAGTGACCCTAGGCAAGAGTAACCCTAGGCAAGAGCAACCCTAGATGCGCAACTCGTCGATCGTTGCATGCGGTCGGACAGACAGCAGCGGCCGGCCTGCTGGTGCTTGGAGCCCCCGCGTCCCCGAAAGCCGTGCACCAAGGGTCACTCCGACAAGAGGGTCATTCTTACGCGTGGCCAGGCCGAGTGAAGCTGGCGAGTTTTACCCACGGCCCTCGAGGATCGAAGGACGAAGGTTTACGAACAGTTTCGGTTGTTTGCGAATCGGGCCCTTTTCTCGGCCCCTGGGGACCCAAACTCTCCAACAGAGAGGGCTTTTTGCCAATTTCGGCGTTCAGAGGCCCTCAACGGGTCCCAGGACCGTCAACGAACGGCTCCTGCTGAAAAACCGATCCCGGGAATGGGGACCAAACCCCGGGGGGGCCCACGTCGTGAAAAAGAGCACTGCGTCGGGGGCCTGGGGCTACATAGACCCGAGGGAAACGCCAAGTCGCGCGGTGGTGCGGCAGGTATGTTTGAATCATCCGAAGCTTTCTCTCCTCCTCCTGGAGGCATCACTCGGCGAACGAACTCCCCCTACCCCGGCTTGTCCCGCGGCGAGGGCAGACGTCTTGCCGTGCTGTACCACCGGCAGCAGCCACCGGCCTCTCCAGCGGCCCCGCCTCTGCTGTTCATTACGTGGTCCCCGCATGTGGCTCAAGACGCCTCAGAAGGACCTGGATACCGAAAGCCATGCGCGTACCCATGCTGCAGTCATCGTGCTACCATCGGGAACGCCAAGTTGGTTACGAAGGGGTTTTTTCTGGCCACGGCGAACTTCGGCCACGAATAGGTTCCCCGACCTAGAGCCAAGGAACTGCCCGAAAACCAGGGCACCTCCTGAGCCCAAAGTGATCATTACCTCAGAGTCTTGACTGTATGCCGATATCTCGAGACCTGCCCGAAGGGAGCTGGAAGAATAAGGCAACGAAGATGACTGCACGGTACAGTTGATGTGTAAGGAGATGGCGGCTCAAGCGGCCCGCCTGGTTTCGGGTGGTGAAGGGGAAGCCCTTCAGCTCCTTTGCAACTGCGACGCCCTCAGCCGTCCTGTCCCGGGGCGAGGGCCAGGAAGGGTCAGGGACGGGCGGAGGGAAGGAATAGCATGAGCAGAAGCAGCGGCAGCAGGAGCAGAAGCAGGAAGGGAGGCGTGCTCTCGCCTTTGTTCCACCCACGACGGGTGCGGCTGCTCGATGTTGGCTTACCAGGCATGCTTCTGACGGGCGCTGTTTGCATCTGGCCTGACCTTGCATCGTTCATCATTGTCCTCGGGCATATTCCTGACGCACTGTTCTTACAGCCAACGCCAATGATGGCACGTTCCGCAGAGACAAAGTGCGTGCTGCCAGAACCCAGTAGTTAGAAAGTCCATGGGATTGCCGAGACCTAATGCCAATCGCCGTGGTGGACTCAGTCCATTGGGGTGGTGCCACTGGCCGTGGTCGAGCAAGTTCACGGGGAGGTTGTGTGTCCAGATGTCCCAACATGAGGCTCGGGCCATGCCCGAGATGGGCATTGCTGAGTGCCCGAGCAGCCTCCCCGGCTGAGCGCTCCTGCGGGTGACCTGGTCTAGGAGAGGAGAAGAAAAGAGAGGAGATAAGGGAGGAAGAAGGTGAGGCAAAGTTGCATGGCAAGTAACGAAGATGCCCGACGGGTCATGCACCCCCGCTGTCCCGCCAACACATGCCCATCATGAAAGGCACAACAAAAAGGCCGTTGCAAGTGAGAGTGAGCGTGAAAATCCAGACCTCCGACGTTGCGAATTTCTCACAACATCGCTCCCCAGAAGTCTGGAACCCTTCCCCGGGGACAGGCTTTTCGTCCTGAGGTGCTTCTTGACGGCCCCGGGGCCTGGCAGGGGCCCCTCGAAGACCAAAACTACAAAAAAAACGTCGGTCGTGATTTTCTCACGATGCTAGGACGTCAGGGGATCGGTGCGTGCCCCCCTCTGCCCCAATGAGGGGCAATGATACGGGGGGACTGGCATAGGGGGGAAGCATCGACCTGGAGTTGGCGATACATCGCCGATAGATCAGCGATGGGCCCCCGAGAGTGAATCCGCACGCTCCCAGGCGGGTTGGGGCTATCGCACCCCTATCGGCGACCAATGGGCGATTGGGGGTCGATGCATCCCCACATATGCCTATTCCCCCCCTTACGCTGCCCCTGGTGGGTGCATGCCCTTCCCTGCACCCATCTGCCGCCCGCTCCCGGAGAGGCCCTCCAGCTGGACCGGGGGCGGCGGCGTCTGGCGGAACTTCACCCGGGGGACCACGGCTGGGCCCAGCGGCGCGGTCGGGGAGGCGGGCAGGGGAGGAGAGGAGAAGGACAGAGCGAGAGAGAGAGAGAGAGACAGAGAGCGAAAAAGAAACAGACTCACCCAAAGAGAAAGAGAGCGGCGGCGAGCGAGGAGGGGAACTGAGAAGGAGAAGGCATTCTCAGAAGGCGGCGGGACTTCTCAGAAGCCCTCGCGCCTTCTGAGAAGTCATCCGTGTCTTCGGGAACAGCTTGGGAAACTGCTCGGAAGGTTTGGGGACTTCCGAGCCTTCGGAGAAGGCCTTCTCCTTCTCACTTCCGCCCTCGCTCGCCGCCGAAGAGAGGGAAGGACAGGGGAGGTGAAAGAGGGGACGGGATGGGGAGGGCGAGAGGGTGGGGGTGGAAGAGGCTGGGGGGAGCCAGGAGAGGGAGGACGCGGAGAAGAGGGGAGCAGGGAGAAGGACGGCCTGGGCCCCCGCCGCGCGGGGGGGGGGCCCTGCGGGTCAGCCCCACGCGCCCCGCCCGCAGCACGCAGGCAGACGGCCGCGGTTAGGCGCGCCGCCACGGACGCGTCCGACTCTCCCGGACCTTTCGCGCTGCGAGGCGCCACCCCGGCCGCTGGCCGAGACCCCCCGCCAGTCGCGGAGCGAGACCCCCGCGGCGCAGCTGCGTTCGAGACCCCCGCGCGCGCGCGCGTGCCCCGTCCTGCAGCGAGGCGCCAGCCCAGCCGCGTAGCGAGACCCCCCGCCAGTCACCGAGCGAGACCCCTCGGATGCGACGCATGCCGTCTCCCCCTTTCAAAATGAAGAGGGAGGAGGGAGGGAGGGAGGGAGGGAGGGAGGGAGGGGAAGGGAGGGAGGGAGGGAGGGAGGGAGGGAGGGAGGGAGGGAGGGAGGGAGGAGGAGGAGGAGGAGGAGGAGGAGGAGGAGGAGGAGGAGGAGGAGGAGGGGGAGAAGGCAAGCTAGGTGCGCTCGCGTCATATCTGACGTCATACCCCTCCCTCCCATCCCATGGCGTAGATCTCCTCTCTATTGGCACGATCGGATGTCGTAGCATGGCATAGCATTACATGGCATAGCATGGTGTCGAAGATCAAAGCGTAGCATGACATGGCATGGCGTGGCGACGCCCCAAAGTGGGGGCTTCTGCGGCCCAAAAAATCAACGAATCGACACCGAATTTGTAATCAATTCCGGTGGTTTCTTCGGGAGGCCATTTTCTAGATTGTGGGGCCGAGTTGGAAGGACCGAAAACCATGCCGGGGCATGGCGCTGGAAATAATGACGCCAGCGCTGCAGCGGGAGCACGATTCAGAACGAGCGGAAGCGCGGAAATGAGGCCAGCGCTGCAGCGGGAGCACGATTCGGAACGAGCGGTAGCCCGAAAATGAGGCCAGCGCTGCAGCGAGAGCAGCATTTTGAAACAAAACCCAAGCGAAAACACAACTCCCGGGAATCCGGTGTGTAAAACACCAGTACACGAAGGGGGACCGGACATTCCCTGGACGCCACCAGGGGAGAGAGGAGAGTAGTATTCAAATTGTGTAACTGTAACAAAAGGGAGGAGGAGGAGGAGGAGGAGGAGGAGGAGGAGGAGAAGGAGGAGGAGGAGGAGGAGGACCATCACAGGCTAATGAGGAAGGCTAAGGTTAGGCCGGCCCGACCCTAACCGAAACCTAAAGGTTACATCCGCTCACCTCTGACGCTCACATGTATCCTGCCTCGCCGCTCCCTCCTTGAGGAGCTGGGCAGCAGGAAAGGGGAGGGCAAGTCGGGGGCGGGCCTTCATACTACTCTTGGGATGTCGGCCGCCTGACAGAAGAGACCACGCACCTTGGGAGAACTTGCTTCGGAAGCGCTCCATACATTCACCTTTGAGCCCTTTGAGGTTGCTTTCCGTATATCGGCCGCACCTCCTGCACACTACAATGAAGGACTCAATGTCAAGATAATCACATATCATAAGTTGGTGCTTCTGGGGGTCTCTAATTAATTGTGAGAGAGTCGCCGAGTTGCCTGGGCACGGCTCCGCCGTGCGGGCTTCCTTGGTGGCGTCGGTTCTAGCTCTAGTATGGCATAGCAGGCACAGCCAGTGACCGTTCAACCAGCCCCAAGTGTGCCTACTTACATTGGCGCGTGCACTCGCACGCCTGGGACCCGCAGCAGGGGGTGGGGGGGTAAGCCACTCATGGACCGCACCCGCTGCCCCCACAGGGGGATTGAGGCTCTTGGCTGGGGTGGCAAAGGCTTTCTTCCCAGTCTTCGGCGCCAGCGGCGCCCAGAGCGAGAGGGCCTCACCAACAAATCGCACGAACCTCTGCACCCTGATGCGAGTCTCTTTATAAAATTCAATCTCCAAAGTCGACGGGGCTGGGGACGAGGCAGCAGCATGTTTGGCCACCTTGTCCGCCCAGTCGTTTCCTTCTGCTAGAAACCAGTCCCTCGAGCCAGCCTCCAGGGACTCAAGATCCTGGTGGGCCTTCACTTTCGCAATCTCGAGGGACCCGAAACTGGCCTGGGACCTGGCCAAAACAGAAACTACAGAGTACATTTCTTTCCTACTAACCTCAGGGCTCTGGTGGACCGAGAGGATACCTTTGAAATCGGCCCACGCCTTCGTGACTCTGGGACACGAGGCGGCAGCTAGAAAACCTAAGTGTTCGGCAGCAGGCGACGTCGGGGGCAGGCTGGCCCCCACGGGCCCCGAGAGGGAGGCAACTAGGTCGCCCTCCTCGTCGATTTTGACCACGGACCAGGCAGGGGCATCATAAACCGCGGGCCCAGGTTTTAAAACGCTGCCATCGTGAAACACTTCTCCATTCATGGCCACCTCCTTGGGTAGCCCATCACGAGACCAATACACCGCTTGGTCCAATCCTAAACCAGGGGGCCTCAGAGCAATCGGTTCTGGTCGAAGCTGAAATCCCGAGACATATGGAAATCCCCCCCATCCCGTCTCTGGGCTCCTCCACGCCCCCCTCCTTCAACATTTCCTTCCTCAGGTTCTTCGTTTGCGGGCACTCGAAGAGTCTGTGGGGGATGGAGTCCACGGGGCCCCGGCATAGGTCGCACACGACTTCACCGTCATACCCTGCAGACGTAATTTTGTCTTTGGTCCAAATACACTGGCAGCCGAAAGAGAGCAGCGCCTTGCGCTTGTGGCCTTGGATGGACTGGCCCTGCAGCGCGCGCTGCATGACCGAGGCGTCGAGCGGCTCGTCTAGGCCGAGCTTCTTACTCGCACGAAGGTCCAACTGCTGCTGCTGCCATTGCCTCTGAAACATCTTCTTAATTAGAGCGGGAGAGGTCGTGATGAGGGGGAAATCCTGGCCGTCCGAGTTCTGGAAAACGAACGGGTCGGGCATTGACCATCCCAGACGCTCAAGGCTGAGAAGCGTGGCCCCAAGGGGCCCTCGGATTTGGTACCACTTCTTGCGAGGCTTGTTGAGCACCTCGAGGGCTTGGGCTCGGAGACCAGGAAGCGAGAAACTTACGGTACCAGGGTAATGAGCAACTCTCCAAATCAGGTTTGCCCAATAAACCGCTGGCCTCAGAGCCGCACTCCAAGTCGGGTCACCCAGGATCGAGAGAGCCAGAGACCTGGACCTAGTAGCACAGCGGGGGCCCACAATCTTGAGGCACAGGGACTGGGCCTCGTGCACCTCGGGGTTGGTTAAGCCAACAACCTCAGCTCCATAGTAGGCTGCCGCTTTCAACCCCGCCTGGTAAACCTTACGCATGTTCGCACCTGCACGCCTAATCTGCGCCAAGCGGTGGAGACGTCGTTTCATCTTAGTCGTTCGTTTATTGAGGGTCACACGATTCTTCTTCCGAAGACGGTTCCCCATGGTGAAATCAACTCCTAGGTTTGGCGCAGACTGAGCTTGGTGGACCCCATCGGGTCCACTGTATTTGCCTAGAGCCTTTGCCAAGCGCTGCTGCACATCTGCGGACGAGCCCAACACCGCCGCCCTGCGCAGCGCGACCGAGCAATCGAGGTCCTCCTCGATAAAATCTAGCATGCTGTCGGCGGCCTGTGCCAAGTCCGACGCCAGAAGTCTGATACTAGCGCTGCTGCTGCCCAACATGAAATCGTCTATACAGATGGAGGGGTCCACGGAGGGGAACTTCGGAACCCAGGAATCCATGGGGGGCACCGTGTACACTTGCACGTTGTAGGTGGCGAAAGAGCATCCAGCAGGAAAACCTTTTGTGGCACAACCAGCATACATTGCCAAGGTCCTTGTAGCTACAACCCTCGGGCCCCCATATTGGTTCATCATAACACATGTTAGCGTCTCCGAAAACCCAGACGATATGGCCCGAGACTTCCACTTCTTGCGGTTCACGTTCTCATAGTAGTTAGATAAATCACAAAGGACACCACCAGCATGCACAGCCTGATAGCCTGCTAGTTCGGCCTTCAAGGCCTGAGCATAAACCGTTTCGAGCACCCCTCGGCCAGACTGATGCGCCAGATAAAGCCTCTTGTTGGCCCCCTCCCAACGGCGAGCTTCAACTTGGCGGATGTTGGACCAAACTCTCCAAAGCGCGGGAAGCAAACCAATGCCACGGTACGAGGGCCCCTCAGACTGGTCGGCCTTGTGCTTCTCGACGGGGGTGATGATAATACTACGAATCGCTGTCGGGAAAACTCACATCTCTTCTATGGCAGCCAAAAGCTTACAAACATGCTCCAACTCCTGGTTACTCAGAAAGGCAAAATGACGAGGGTGAAATCCATCCCATGTCTGGCTGGTTGATTTGGGAAACCTTTTGGCTGCCGACCGAATCTGACCAGGCGTGATCGGCTCCAGGCAGTCACGCGTGGCGGAGGGCAAGTTAAATTCCTGCTCCTGCTCCGCGGTCTGCCAGAGTCTGCCAAGCGGGAAGCCTCCGACTGGAGCAGCTCGAAAGGACGGCCTGAAAATGTCTGAAGCTCTGGGCGCCAGACTCTTTGAGGTTGCCAACTGGTGAGCTTAGAGGCCCACCTGTGTGCCCACCCCACCCCACGAGACATGG